GATGATTCTGTTACTAAGACAGAGACACCACCGGTTTCATCACCTCCTGTTAAGCCTAGGAGGTCCACCAGAGACACAAGACCTTCCACCAGGTACAGTGCTCATGAGTATTTGTTGCTTACCAATGGGAGAGAGCCAGAGTTGTATGAAGAGGTTCTTAGTCACGAGCAGAAAGATCAATGGTTAGCAGCCATGCAAGATGAGATCAAATCCTTGCATGAGAATAACAAGTATGACCTGGTGAAGCTGCCTAAGGGCAAAAGAGCACTCAAGAATAAATGGGTGTTCAGACTGAAAACAAGTGAGAACATCGCAACCGAGGTAGAAAGCCAGATTGATTATGAAGGGATTCAATCAGAGAAAGGGCGTAGACTTTGATAAGATATTCTCTCTTGTTGTAAAGATGTCTTCAATCCGAGTTGTACTTGGGATAGCAACCAACTTGAATCTTGAGATGGAACAGCTTGATGTGAAGACAACCTTCTTGCATGGTGATTTGGTGGATGAGATTTACATGGAGCAACCAAATGGGTTACAGGAGAAGGGAAAGAGAAGCTTGTAAGTCGTCTCAACAAAAACTTGTATGGGTTGAAGCAAGCTCCGAGTTAGTGGTACAAGAAGTTTGATGCCTTCATTATAGGGTAGGGATACCAAAGGACTACAGCTGATCACTGTGTGTTTGTGAAGAAATTCTCTGATGCTGATTTTATAATTCTATTGCTTTATGTCGATGACATGTTGATTGTTGATCATGATACTGCAAAGATTGCCAGGTTGAAAAAAGGAGTTGAATAAGTCCTTTGCGATGAAGGATTTGGGTCCGGCTAGACTGATCCTTGGGATGAAGATTTCTCGTGATAGATAGAATGGGATGCTTTGGGTATCTCAAGAGAAGTATATCTAGAAGGTTCTTGATAGGTTTAACATGAGTGGTGCTAAGGATCTGTCTAGCCTCCACTTGCGGGACATTTTATGCTAAACAAAACGCAGTGTCCTAAAAGTGTGAAAGATAAGGAAGAGATGAAAAAGGTTCCTTATGCTTCGACAGTTGGCAACCTGATGTATGCAATGGTTTGCACAAGGCCAGACATAGCTCATGCAGTTGGTGTTGTTAGTCGGTTTCTCTCCAATCCTTGTAAGGAGCATAGGAATGCTGTAAAGTGGATTCTCAGGTATCTTATGGGTACTTCCAGATTGAGTCTTTGCTTTGGTAATGGATGGACCATGTAGATGGATGTACAGATTCTGACATGGGGGATGACCTGGATGGTCGGAAGTCTACTTCTGGATACTTGATGACTTATGGAGGGGGGGTTGTTTCATGGCAGAGTAGGTTGCAGAAGTGTGTTTCTTTGTCTACTATAGAGGCAGAGTTTATCGCAGCTACTGACTCATGTAAGGAAGCACTTTGGTTGCAGAAGTTTCTATAAGAGTTTGGCATGAAGCAAGAGAGGTATGTGGGTTACTGAGATAGCCAGTACGCTATTCACTTCGCAAAAAATTCCACATTTCTTTTGCAGTCAAAACATATTGATGTGAGATATCATTGGATTTGGGATGTACTGGAGTCCAAGGTGTTGTTTCTTGAGAAGATCCATACAGATGACAACGGTGCCGATATGTTGACGAAGACTGTGAGTAGAGACAAGCTCCTGTTTTGTAGACAGGAAACTCGTTTTGTTTTACCCCCCAATTGAGGTGAAGGGAGAGATTGTTGGGCCGGTTTTTGACCGGGAAAAGGAAACTAAAGTTCTTTTGGGTTTTGGTTTTGTTTTGATGCTTATAAAAGCACGGCAGAACAACAACCTTTTGTGCATGTGTTTTTCAGCCAAGAGAAAAACAAGGGCAGCCGCGCAAAGCTTTGTGCACGAGTGAAAAGGAAAAGAAAACCAGGGTTCCAGGGTTTTGGTGTTGGGTGAGAAGAAAGTGTTTCATTTTAAGGCTTTGATCGGGTGAGGGAACAGAGTAAGTTTTTGGTGCAAATTTTCATGTTAATTCCTCTCAACAAGATCTACAATTCCTCCAGTCTAGTTTTCGGTTTAGCTCTTTTTTGGTGAGATCCTTCCAATCCTACTTTGTGATAGGTGTTTGTGGAAGAGTATTGTTGTAATCCACCTTTAGGTGAAGTCCTGTGTATCCGTTTGGTGAAGAGTGCTTTCTCATTGTTGTGATAGTGGAGATTTGACTGTTGTTACAATCCCATAGTTTTTTCCAATTTGGGTTTTCAATGTAAATTTGTGCGCCTACTTTACTTTATTAGTTCTTTAAATATTTTCTTGTTTGGTTGGCTTGGTTGGTTGTCCTATTTTATTGGTAGTAGGAAAGTAGTTTTCTTGGGAATCGTTTTCGTTGGATTATTGTGTTTATATCCTTTCTGCCACAACACATTGTCGTGAACATAAAAATGGAGCTTTGTGAGTTGAAGGTTTGCATTTAAACGGTGGTTTCGGAATCATTTCTCCACGGCCGGGGAACTACTCTCATCCACGTGTCCATATATCGAGGGAACCTCCATGGCAACCGAACGCTCTTCCGACCAGTTTTCCTCATCAATGCAGCTGCCATGAGCTAGAAATGGCAATGCTACAATGAAACAAAGAAGCACAGTTGTCATGATCTCATTCATCTTATGCAAAATGCCAATTGTATTTAATAATATACTTTTGTGTACTTTGGAAGTGCAATTTTCGATTTGATTATTTTTGAACTGTTCTGTGTACCTTATAACATTCAGTTGAGGCTTATTTATATTGCTCACGTACGTATGCTTTTATGAAGACAAACGTTAAATAGTTTGATAATTGACTGAATTGAACTCGAAGTGCGCATGTTTCGAAGTACTTTCACAATTTTGATCAAGTTTGACTGAAATAAAACTAATTTGGCTGATGGTTGTTAGAATGATTGGAAAGTAATTAAGGATGGACATCATGAAAATACTTCCAATTCAGTTCACTTACGTTCTTTAAAATATGAAATCAACTTAATTTATAAGTATTCTATTTGTAATTTTTTTAAATAAGTATTCTATCTATACTTATAACCTTAATTATCATCAGTAACATTTTCAATTCTATAGACAATTTTTTCCCTAAGCTAATGTAAGCGTAATTTTTCTGATACTCGTTCAGTAATCTAGCCCTATTTGGTACTCCTATAGTGCCCAAAAATTAATCCATTATGTTGTGCTGTTTTAGTTCAAAACAATCTGGACCGAGACGAATAATTGCAGTTTAAACATAGACTTCCTGATAATTTTTGCATATATATTTTTAAGTAGCTTAGGTATATATGTTCGTTCATTTTAGGATTGACTGTGGTGCAAAATGAAATGCACTACAACATACTTGTTTTCGACAAAATAATGTGTAATTTATCATTAGAAGAAGTTCCCAACCAACGAAAATGGAGTTCTTTTTTTTCCATCTTTTTGGTTTCCAATCATATTTAATAAGATTGGGGGCCTTAAAAGAGCAATTAAAAGTAACTTTTTCTTCTTTTTTTTTGTGGTTTCCTTTACTTTTTCTTTGTTTCTTATTTCGGTTCGGGTATTTGTGATATGCTTTCATGACAAATTAGAAAAATAAATATGCATTACTTTTCTGGGACAGAATGAGTAATATTCTTTTTTCTAATTTGGATTGAATATATAGTTAATTATTTCCCGGTTGGTAGGAATTCTAAAATCGACGACAGTCTTTTGGTACATTTTTGATACATTTGAAAACAACGATTGAAGTTATTTGGACAACTTTAATAGTAATAATAATAAATTCTACATTAGCTAGTTGTCTGTATTTCCTACTAAAAGTTGTATCTTGGAAAGGAATATTTTTGTCCGATATGGTTTACTCAATGACATAACACGATTCAAATATCTAGTAACCCTCATCTTCATTTCCCACTTGATTAATTACGGGGGAAAAATAGCTGAGGATAGAGTAATGGAAAATTCAAAGAAAATTTAAACATATCAACCCAAAAAAAAAAAAAAAGTTCCAGTTTCCACGAGGATAGAACAGGAATTTTAATGTTAATTTTCTTTTTAGTCAAAGTTACACAGTGAGGCCGCCCCTAAGCCAAGAGAATATAATTATTTTTTATTCTTATTCATTTTAAATTTTTGGGACTGAGTTTCAAGCTGAAGCAACTTGGGCTCTTCTTAATGTTCCTTAAGTATATGATTTGTCTAAGAGCAATGATTTCAAGTTTTTTATTGAGGGGTCTTAATTTCATCCGTTTGATGAAGATCATTAGCTCTATTTGTATAGATTCAAATAGTTGAAAGCACCTCTTCAAAGTGTTCGATTCAAACATGTCGTCAATATGTTTTGAGTACTGAGGATGTTTAACTTCATTACCAGCCCCCTTTAAGCAAAACCTCTTATTTTTTCAATCCGATGAAACTACAAATCGAATCATACATAACACATTTGATTTTACACACAATTTCTAATTGATGGTATATAATATGAGAAGACCTGACAAACCATTTGTCAGGATGATATCCGCTTTCACATGTCATTTTGAATGACTGAGAGTTTTATATTGACTGCCAATCTACAGAGTGCTCTTCTCACAAAATAAATTTTCTGTTTGTTATACTAAACATATTATTTCCACTGTTTTAAAATTATCGTTTAGTATGGATTTTCTATTTAGGTTCAGTTTATACTAAAATTAAAGATTCAAATTGGACAATCATTTCAGGACGGAGAGAATGTGGAAACTGGATATTCATTTGAATATGGAGGAAGTAAGAGTTAATAACATCTTTTGGATTTTGAAAGTAAGATACAAAGGACATCATGCATTTTCGTTTGAACGCGCTTATTACTCAAACTACATGTGGAGGGGAAAGTGGTTTTGTTTCTTTTTCAATCGTGAATGTAAATAAAATTTCGAAACATTACAACGAACACCGCCACCCCCGAAATGCCATGTTTTACAAGGAACTGTGCAGTTTTCTGTTTTATTAAAAATTTCGAGAGTAAACCGCATTAGTTTATACAATGCATTTTCAGAGTCAGACCAGATCCCGCCAACTTATCTTGTGTCAAGCTTTGAAGTCGTTCGGCCATGGAAGGAGAGAGAAAATCAACCCAATCTCCAACTTTTCCCTTCCTGAAATATGAACTGTTTTTGCTTTTAAACACATGATTTTGTGTTTCACCATATTTGTTGCAATCCAAGTTCTTGAGATTCTGGAAGCTGCAAAGCTTTGCTATCTCTTCAAACAAACCTTCATTCTCTTCCTTCTTACTGAAACAGTATCCCAAGAACTCAGCAATCTTTCTCACAGAGGAATTGATGTCCGTTTGAAGATCCTCATATTTCAAGAACAAAACTTTCTCAGGGTTATTTAAGCTTGCCTGCCAATATCCCAAAACATGATCCCAGAATGGACCGTAATGAAATGTATCCTCGCAAAATGCTTGGAAAACTTCATTCACAAACATCGATTGATCTCGATCTAGCCCTTGAGGAAAAGCGTCATTTTGCAGCAAGAAATGTAGCCAAGATGTAAATACATCCAAAGGGTTTCTGCAAATATAGATTACTTTACAGCTCGAACCTTCCAGCATGGTGTTTGGAAGGCACTGATAAAGTACATGGGTCGCAAAGATCCGCGGGTCAGGCATGGATTCAATATCAGGAATTTTGGGTCTCGCATATAACTCGGCCTCTAGGAACGGAACAAGTCCATGAGGATTGTTGTAGAGTAAAGGGCTTTCAGAAATCGGATACTTTTCGCGGTTGACTATGCTCCACGTCAGGGCTTTAAGCCATGTAGTACCTGATTTAGGCATGGTGGCTAATATGATGTCGGAATCACGGGTTTCTTTGAAGTGTTCACGAAACCTCAGCATACCTCGAAGATTGGCTGCAAGAAACCAGAAGCCGTTGTATTGTGCGAACTCACGGCCGAATTTGTGTTTTTTTGGCAATTTTTGTAAAAGACTTTCAAGCTGATCCTCAAATTTCTGTTCCATTTCATTGGATTGATATGAAGAGGCTCTTTAGTTTGTTAGCAAATTAATCAGAGAAAGAATAAGAGAGAGAGAGAGAGATCGGTGTTTTATTCTGTGCAAGTGCGACCTTTTGGTGTCTGTATATGGATGGTTTATTTGAGATGGTTGTTTTATTTTCACCAGCTAATTAAAGCGTATGTGGAAGGTTTGATGTTCAAAAGTACATCAAAAAAATTACAAAAGTACAGCATGAAATAATGATAAAATATCAAAATTTATATAGAATTCACTCTTAATCAAACACGAAGAATCTTAGGTGTCATGCTAATTACAAACTTATCAATTACGTTTGGTCAGAATAAATAAAGGATTTGATTGATGAGTTGATTGATGATTTTGACTAAAGGAAAGTACACCAAACAACAACAATAATCATTATTCATTTCTAATTAATTTTGTTTTGTCGTTGATTCTTCTCATGATCTTTTTAAATAGATCATAGACTATAGATGTCTAATAATGATGATGTGATTGGTGAACTGCTTTACACGTAACTTGAAGATATTCTATTGTTAATGTCCTTTTATGGATTTCCTTGTATTTCATCCAATTCTGACCGTGTTAAGTTGTACAAAGTTAAGTTTGTTTTCATAAAGAAAATTAAAACGAATTAGGTTGAGGAAATTGAATTTGAAACTAGTTCATAGAGAAACAAATGCTTTGCAGATTGCCTTTGAGAACAAAGTGTCTGATGGAGTCACAATGCCATGCTCACACCCTTTAATTTGCAATTGGCCATCTAACAAGAGGATTTTAGTCTTCGGTGTTTTGATAACAATAGTTTTCATATATATGTGCGTGTTAAGTAAATAAATTAAAAGATCATATGTTAATTAATTTTCTCCGGTTTCGTAAAATTAATTTGCATAGGTTATTTTGTAAGAGAATCTATTGTTTCTTTAAGTCTAATAAACTGTTATCTATACTTTAATTATGTTCAACAATAAATTGTCAATACCCCATCAAGTGGGTAAATTGGATCTCTTAGACCATAATTGTACTACCTAAACAACCATATAATCTTTTCACATTTCTCTATTTAAACATTATTTTCTTTGTATAATTTTAAATAACACTCTAGCCCCTCCGTCAATGAATTCGTCGGGACTATATATCAAAATCATTTTGATGAATGATCTAGGATGTGATTTAAAATTATGATGTAAGATCTGTTTTGCCGACCAGGTATAGTTTTTGTTAATTCCGCCGAAATGGTAAGATCCTGAATTTATACAGGAAAGTATACAGAATTCTAAATGTGTAAATACATTCCCTATAAATAATTGCCCATCTCGTGCAACCGCAGGGGCATAACGTCTCTTCTAGTATCGAGCTAAGATAAGCACCTACGAGCAAAAATTCTAGATATCATTTTATTACATTTTTAAATTTTGTTATTGAACTAATCAAAAAAATCTGGTCGTTTTATTAGATCTTTGCGACACGAAGGACAAAATTAATCTAGATTAGTTTATTAGAAATTTTAATTTTGTTAATGAATTGACCTTGAAAACTAGAAAATGATGTTGAATTTCCCATTGTTTCACAAGTTTAGCTCAACTTCTCTTCAAGCTCCTCAATTTAGAGAATCTATCTATGTTAATTCCAACCTTTCCGAACTGCTGATCCAATCTTTGAACCTATTTAAGCGTTGAGTTGAAACTGCTTACATAGAGAAAGGAGCTCGATGGCCTAGTTGACGGTGTATTTTATCAAAATTTGATACCACTTGTCGACTTCATCATGGGGCAAAGGAACTCAATGACTGATCAAAATGACAATGTGTTTCTAAAAACTTTATCTCACTGATTGTAGTGCAAAGGTTTTTGATGACCAAGTTGACGATGTATTTTTGAAACTTGATCCCAACCGTCAACTTTGTCATTGTGAAAAGAAACTCGATGAGAAAGTCGACAACATATGTTTCAAAACCACATCTCATTCGTCAAGTGTTTCGTCATTGAAAAACGCTCGACAAAGTTCGACGATGCGTATTTCAAAACAGTATCATGCTTGTCAACAATTTCCTTCGGATGACAAAGTCGACAATGTATCTTTCATACATTATCACTGATTCGTCGATGAAAGGAACTCAATGACCAAGCCGATCAAGTACATTTTCAATGTAATCAAAAAAAAAAAAAAAAAAAGAAGAAGAAGAAGTGTGCCCTCCGTCTCAAAATTATTATCCATTTAGGGTTTTCATTTTAGTTCAATTTGTATTAAAAATGAAATTTCAAACTGAACAATAATTTGAGACAAAGAGAATATATTTTTCAAACTTCAGCTCATTCATCACGTTATCATCAGCCGTTGGGGAAAGCAGCTTGATGAGTTAGTCGATGGTAATATTTTTCTTTTCTTTCGAACTTGATTTTATTCCTGTCATCATGACAATAAAATGTTGAGACCCCTTTGTTATATTGTCCCACATTGATTTTGTCAGATACTTTGGACTTGCTCATCAGGTAAAGAATGTAATAACAAGTTTTTTCTCAAACTTTATACCACTCGTATAGTTCATTGTCGGCACAAAATATATATATATATATTTGAATGTGTATATTTAAGCATTCTAACCCAAGAATACATGAACTTTTAATTGATTTTGAAAGAAAGTTAAGAAATCTAAAATTTGATACTTTTAGAAGAAGATATGGGCAATATTCAGTGGAAAAAGTTTAAACTCAATGGTAGGTCGGATTGGAGTTTTGACAAGACTGATTAGGACCGTTTGGCCTAAAATGTATGCTACATTTGAGGATTATAAACACTTCGCATTTTTTCTTTAGGGGCCAAGATGTAGAAATTACTGTATTGCGCGGTACAATATATCATTCGTTAGTAATAATAAAAATTATAAGAAAGCACTATTTTATTTTCTGTTATCCTCTTTACTCGATATTCATGTACCCTCTACAATAGTAACTATATAACAGAATAATGATAAAATTTTTATATATTCAAAAAAATATTAATAATTCATAAATTTTAAAACTAAAAAAATATGATTTTTTTTAATTTCCGTCCCATCAATCGCTGTATACTTTAACTTTTTAACAAGTGCAAAATGTTAATTTGAGGTAATAGTTTTCATAAAAAATAAAAAAAAAGACAGAAAGAGAAAATCAAGCTTCATTTAAAACTTTATAGGAAAACATTAAAGGACTCACTTAGAATGAATCAAAATTCATGGACGTCACATGACATCCTGTCAATAATTTTTTTTCCATTAGATTCACGGCAAAGTTACCTAATTAAAATGGAATCAAAGTTAAGTCACTCAAATAAGAATGTTTTTCTATATTACGCACGGCTCTAACTAATCGGGATTCAAGTTGGATGCAAAACTCTCTCAATAAAAATTTTAAAATCACTGTTTCATACACATACCTAGATTTGATCCTAATACCTTTACTAGTTGGACCAAATACTTGTTGGTTGGAATAAAAATTTTATGATAGTATGAATTGGTCGTGAATAGGTCCGAGTGCCATGATGTTTAATTTCATGCCTTGCGACCGAAAAAGCATCTGACTCACGGTAGATATTACACTTCAATTACAAACTACAGTAATAGGAACTCTCAAAAACCAAAAAACAAACATACAAAAATATAACATAAAAATGCACGTATGTTTAATAAGGTGTTCGTTTGTCCAGTTGTAAAACTACTTTTACTTTGAAGAAACAGTCTTGAGTTCAATCTCCGCTCTAACAAAAGTGAACTGTTTCTACCTTTTTCTAATATTTTAAAAGTCTTCTTATACAAAAATCCGAATATGAAACCTTAATTTTGCATCTAAACTCGTCATCGGGTAATTCCCCAAATTTTTGTTTTTAAAAAAAAAAGCACAGATGATTGATTTTCTTAACCAACTGGCACTCAAAATCTAAGTGATTATGATTGGCGATCATGTGATGTATTTACTAAATTATATGTCCAAGACCTAGCCCCATCCTTTTCAAAGCCTAAAATTTCACCTTCACATTTTTCACGAGTTTGCCTGGTCTCTTCCGGTTTAATTTCGATTTAAAAATGCAATCTCTCTCTCTCTCTCTCTCTCTCTCTCTCTCTCTCTCTCTCTCTCACTATATATTCATGCCATCACGTAATATGAAGACGGATTTTATGTCTAAATTGTAATATCGATCAACATGTTCCTGATTAGAATCCAAATTTTACGAGTATAGGATTACATATGGATTCTTGATTTGAAAATGTTTAATGGTAAATGAAAATGGCGACGATACTTAGTGGCAAATGTTAGACAGAGTTTCATTCATCTTTTTTGGTGAAGTGTCATCATAGAGTTTATTTAGTTTATTCACATTATTACCAATATAATAAGGAAAATTAGGAACATAGAAAAACTCAATTCTTTTTGGGAATAAAAAAAAATCTTCAACAAGAATCTTACAAATTAATTCAAAGGAAGCATAGTTTGATATCTACTGTAACGCATCACAAAGATGTGTTATTACATATTATCATACTTCAGCCATAATTCCATACTATGATATAGAGTGCACACCAACATATCCTTAGAAAATAAAAATAAAAAAAGTATTCCTTCTGTCTCAAAAATAGTTCACAATAAGACTTAAAATTTATATGAATACAATATAAATTTTAAAATTAATATGTGGGGGTTTTTTTGGGGGGGGAGAGGGGAGGGGGACAAATATAGTACGATACTACAACGGAAGAGTACTAACACAACAAGCTGAAAAATAAACCCCAAAATTTCATATGAAGACACTAGTGTTCATTGACAAAAACAAATAACTCACTGGTAAATTTTCATAGTCAAACCAGAGCCGGCAAACTTATCTCGCAACAGGCTCTGAAGCCGTTCAGCCATGGAAGGAGAGAGATAACCAACCCAACCTCCAACTTCTCCCTTCCTGAAAAATGAACTATGTTTGTTTTTACGAACATGTTCAGTTTCACCATTTTTGTTGCATTCCAAGTTCTTGAGATTCTGGAGGCCGCAAAGCTTTGCTATCTCTTGAACTATACCTTCATTTTCTTCCTCCTTCGTGAAACTACATCCAAGGAATTCCGCCATTTTTTCCAGAGAGGAATCGATATCTTTTATAAGATCTTCATATTGCAAAAACAAAAATTTTTCAGGGTTGTTTAAACTGGCCTTCCAGTATCCTAAAATGTGATCCCAGAATGGACCATAGTGAGATGTACCCTCGCAAAATGCATCAAAAACTTCATTCACAAATACCGCTTGATCTTGATCTGGCCCTTGAGGGAAAGAACCATTTTGCAACATGAAATGCACCCAAGATGTGAACACATCCAAAGGGTTCCTGCAAAGATAGATTACTCGGCAGCGGGATTCATCTAAAATGGCATTTGGAAGGCACTGAAAAAGTAAATGTGTCGCGAAAATTCGTGGGTCGGGTATGGATGTGATGTCAGGAATTTCGGGTCTTGAGTACAGCTCGATCTCTAAGAACGGGACAAGTCCATGGGGATTGTTGTGGAGCAAAGGGCTTTCAGAAATCGGATGATTTTTGCGGTTAACAATGCTCCAAATTAGGGCTTTAAGCCAAGTGGTACCTGATTTAGGTAGGGTGGCTAATATTATGTCGGAATCATGGGCATCTTTGAAGTGTTGATGAAATCTCAGTATACCGCGAAGAATGTCTACATGAAACCAAAAGCCGTTGAATTGCCCAAACTCACGGCTAAATGCATGTTTTTTAGGCAATTCTTGGAAAAGCTGCTGAAGCTTATCCTCGGACTCTTTTTCCATTTAAGATTTAATTGGATCGAAAGATCTAAATTTGGATGGGTATAAAGAGGCTTTGTGGCCTGTTGACAAATTGATGAAAGAGAGATGGGATTTGTTTGATTCTATGCGCCAATCTTTGGTGGACTATTTATTGATTGTGTACGAGTTTGTTGGGTATGGATATGCATTTATCTTGAATTTGAAAATCTATATGGTTTTACTACCTCCATGTACTTTTATCTGCCTTTATATTTTGTACAATTATTACGAAAATAATAGTTGATACTTTAAAAATTAATTGCATTTTCTTTCCTGCTCCTAATTAAAAATATTAATACTCTACAAAAAAAATGTTGATGCGTAATTGGAAATCAAGTACGACAAAGTAAAAAAATTTGAGTTCACTAAAATGTGACAAATAAAAAAAATGGAGGTAGCACTTTTTTGGTGGCACGCCAAACCATACCAAAGATGGTAGATCCTCTTAGTATTGCAATTTGCAAATCCATAATGTAGTTTTTAAAACTTCATCTCGGTCATCGACTTTGCCATCGTACAAAGGCTCTCAAAACTTTAGGCTGGTATTCGCTCATTTAGAACTATGTCATGGGTCTTGTAAAAACAGATGCTTATGCACGTTCTGGTTGGAGAACGGGGTAATAGTTAAATGGGAGGGACTAGCCCAAAAATATAATTATATGTAAATCCGAACAGAGTCATGTTTAATCCTATCACGTACTCTAACCATCCTATTCTAAGAGTCTTTTTATTTTAATAATCTATTTTATTTCGTACAAGAATAAAGTTGACTATAGAAAAAACAGTCAGCGTAGAAATTGATGGATCGTGTGACTTACGATATGTATCGCAGCTCAGCTTAGAAGACTAATCTTAAGAAAGAATTAGAAAATAGTATATATTGATTTTTAATATTTGTATTAAGTAGTAAAAATCTTAGAAATCGTTAATGTGGATTAGACTTTTTGACATAGAGAGTATTATTCTTATCTTAAAATGATTGTTCACTTTGATTTTTTTTTTTCTAAAAATTTGTGCTAATATTAAAAATCCAAACTGAACAAATCATTTCGGAACGAAAGAGTAATGTATTGAATGCTTTAATAAATACACCATCCCTTACCATCTAAATCTTGCCTGACAGCATCAAAATGTGATTCACGGTGAAGTGACCATACTTCTTGATATTGTATATTAAACGAGTAGTAGTATACAACATCCTGAGTCAAATCCAAGAGGATTGATTTGGAAATCACTATTGCTTCCCCAGTTGTTAGATAAACAATTAAACCTGGGATTCATGTGAACGAAAACGAGATAAAGCTATTATGGTCGTTTTGGTGGCCAATCTAGTCTTAAAGTTTGAACCATCTTAAAATACTTTAAGGTGGTCAATTTTATCGTACCGATGAAAATGAATAATTTCCAGCAATTGACTTGTTCAAACGACATTTTTAAAATTTTTTAATTGCTTCCAAATATTAGTAATAAAACGACCAGTTAATTAACATGATTAATTAGTGTAATAATTTCTTTAAAAAATCATAAAAGTTTAAGCGACGTTGTTAATTAATAACATAATTACTTTTGGGGCAAAAAATTTGTTTTCTTTCTTTATGAGTGGCCCATCAAACTCCTAAGTTTAAATAAGCCTAAATTGTTCTAGTATTTAGTTTTTATAAACCTATGAGAATTTTTGTGCAATATAAATTAATCAAAATGCAACCAAATTTTTTAATTTTTGTGCACCAAAATGCAACAACTTTTCCCTAACACCAATTGTGCGATATGTGCATGAAAATGCAACCAAACTATATGGTTGTTTTGCAAGTCCCAAGTTTTATTTACTTTTTAAGAGTATTTTAATGTCAACTTTAATTAACGTCTAACTTAATTTTTTCAAAAGTAATTCTTAAAGTAATTAATTATATATACTAATTAATTGGTCGTTTTTGTCCTAAATTTAAGAAGTATTAAATTTTTTTAAAAAAACTCGCATGTTGACCAAGTCAATTATTGGAACTTATTTTTTATTGGTAGGATGAAATTGGGTCAAGTATTTTTTAAAATGTGATAAAATCCATTCCCTCAACCAAATTCGAATAGAATAAAAAATCCATTATACTAATGCATTCCTCAACTATTTTTTCTTTTTTGAGAATTAAAATTTATTAATTTACTGAAAACCGTCCGACAGCATTTGATAAGAAAAGATACAGTCAGAAAAACACAATTTACAATTGGATATAATCATAGTGTCTTTGTTGTGTTTCATATAGATAAACCTATATAAATCTACCCTATCAAGCAGTGGTTGTATTACGTGCTGAAACAAAGATACAACACTAAAAATCAGTTGAAACTCTAAAATCATAGATCTAACAACTAAATCTATGATGACTGAATCTTTTAAAGCCATACGAGCGAACTCCAACGAACCTGTTGCCATACCTGTAAACATCACCAACAAAAATGTCGCTATACCAACGAACAACACCAGGGAAGTCACCGCCATACCTAACAAGTAGAGGAGATTATAGTCTCACTTATTGAAAATAAATTAAACAACAATAAAGAAAATGTAAGGATCGGAATAGAATTATCTCCCCCATCCTTCCATGGTGGAAAGATGAGGAAAAAGATGGAGTTTTTTTTTTTTGTTTTAGGGTTTTAGGGTTGGAGAGGGAGAGAGGGGCGACCGAGCCTTTATTTTTTGGAATGTTATATTCCTCAAGAATTATTATACATAATTTATCAAATTGCATTTAAAACCTAAGTTCAAAATGAAAAAAAAAAATGAGAATTCACTATCGATAAAGCATTGATCAAATTTAATGTACGGGACTAATGAAATTTAATTCATTGAAGCTTTTTCCCGTCGAATCGAAGACAGTTAAAAAAGTAAACAACTGTTTCCTAAACTAATACCCAAAATTGTCACTGCCTTGATATGCTCATTAATAATATATATGATTCAAGAAAAAATTATGGTGAATAAATAATACTTTCCCAAAATAATTCCTAAAATTGATCTGTTGATTAATTATTTGGACATGATTTACACGTCCAATGCTTCCAAAAATCAAATCGAAGGATTGTTTATTTACATCTCCAATCTCCAAAAATATTTTTTGATACCGGGAAATGATGATGATGCAGAAGATAAAATTCCCCCAAATTGAAGCTTTCTTTTTAATCTATTCTATAATATATTATATATTATTATTATATATCTCTATATATATATTAAGAGAGAGTTTTCAATCGGACACATAGCGCAAAACTAGATTGGCTAATCCATGTGGCGGTAAATTGGCGAGCCAAGTCCACATGTCGCAGCCTCATCAATCTATCATTTAATAGTAACTTTTTAATGTAAAATGGTAAATTTATAGATAATAATAAATTAACTAAAAAAACAAAAGGGGAAAACCAAAATAATCATTAAGAAGATAATTTATTCACAAGTACGTATACAAAATACAAGCACGTAAAATGATAACATGGTAATATCAGTTTGTAATTATATAAGAAAGACTATGCACAAAAACTTTTGTTATCTCATAGTATTAAGTTAATCTTATTAATTAATGTAATTTATTTACAAGCACGTTTAATCATCAATTGTAATTCTAATAAATTGGAATTACTTCTTCTCTAAGAAAGACTCAGTCTATAAATACTTATCTCCCAATAAAAAATTTAACATGATAATTAATTTTTTATTTGTGAATCTATAAAATCTATAAATAATAAATTTTACACAGTTTAATTTTTTTAATTAAAAGTTCTGAAATTACCTTTGGATCCATCGACTTTCAAATTAATTTATTCGAATAATAGATAATGGAATAGTTTCAACACTTCCAATGATATATATAACATATGGGTGGCTATGAAAATATAATTCTATAAACCAGGCTTAAATTTATTTTTTAAAAAAAAAAATTGGCTTTCAAGACATTGTCCTTCCTAATGAAATAAAAAGTTTAATAATCTGCCTCTTTTTTTTTTAATATATTACTCCAGGTTATATAGTGTTTGAAAATTCTCTCAACTAATTTAGTTTTATCCGTGCAAATTGGATGTAAATGATCAAATATTTGTACGGGATTACGTACCCGTGGGATTGGATGTTCAAATAATCCAATTGCAATACATTTTTGTCCAAATAATTGTCATGATCACAATTATTTATGATTTATGATTTGTTAAATTGGGTCCTAAATAGTCATCAAATAATCTAGATCAATTGACAAATGTTGGGATGAAACAAATTATACGGAAACAAAAATCACCCCAAAAAGCTATACAATACCAAAATTAAAAGAATCTTCAACTAGCAATTAATTACAAGCCTAAATAAACAGAATTAAGATGAATCGTGGGGAAGAAACTTCATAGCCTGAAGGAGAAGTTGTGCGTCCAGTTGTAACTGCAGTCAAGTTACATTGACATGGGTAGAAAATTTTTTGTTAGAGGAGTATAAAAAGTATGATACGGGTAGAAATATTTAGAGAGATCATTATGAAAAATTAAGAGAATACTCTTAATAAAAGACATAAAGTTATAAATCAACTTGGATATTTTTGAATAAAGTTATCCAAAAAGATACACAATAAGTTAAATTGGATATTTTCGAATATAAAAAATTATTCCGAATATAATTAAAATAATAAAATACATTAACATTAAAAATTACGCAATTGTAATTTATATTATTATATTAGTATCACTTTATTGGAAATATTATGTAATCCTTAAATCATTAAATATTTATATATCCTGAACAACCAGCACAACGTGCGGGATAAACACTAATATTATAATAAGAGAGAAATTCGAGAGACAAAAGAATCCTTCTTTTTATGTTGGCACATAGGAGGCATTTTCTAATGTATACCCCAAAAATTGTCTTAAAAATTTGTACTAAAATTTCTTCTGTGTTTTAGTATTCAAACAATCGTACAATTAATATTTAATCACTATATTCAAATGAAAAC